CGAGAGGCTGTGAGCGTCCAGCCGCTCGCAGACGCTCCACCGTGTTGTGGCTGAGCGCGCAGCCTCAACGTGGCCATGTACCCAACCCCATAAACGCGCACAGGACCATGCGTGTCTTTGAGTAATCTGTGCACCCAATAAATACACTGCTGCAGGAAACAGTCCGCGTCTCCCTCTCCTCTCGAAGCGCGATTAAACGCCCTAAATAAAGCTCTGATACCTAAATTTTGCATTGCATTAAAAGTTCATGTTTGAGCCCAAAAGTAATATGTTGTGAACAAATTAAACAGATTTAGAGCCAGCAAATGGCTGACAATATGCATTTCAGTCTTTTTTGACCAATTCTCATCCCTGTAACAAACAATAGTGTTGTCTGTGTCCACCTCCTTCACTCTGAGACATGTTCATTACTCTCTTTTAATGTAGACTATTGCATTTTATTTTATTGTTGAAACTGCACATATCCTGATCCTCTACAGTATTTGCTTCCACATACTGTATAAACTAGGAGTCGGCAACCTGCGGCTCCGGAGGTGCATGCGTCTTTTTCCTTCTGTAGAAGGAAAAACGTTCTTAACGTTTTTAAATGCTGTAAAATTGTGCATAAGTAATATTCAATTTAAACATTTCTGTCCACGTAGTGCGTCTTATCCTGCGACGTAGGCCCGCGCCAGGCGGCCGCTGTTGTAAACAAACCGGCGTGTGAGCTCTGCTTGTTACAAGTCTCTCCATGGCCTCGCTCCAAAATATATTAGTGACATGTTAATACCATACGAACCAGCCCGGACTCTGAGGAGCACAGGGACTGGCCTCCTGCTGGGACTCTGAGGAGCACAGGGACTGGACTCCTGCTGGGACTCTGAGGAGCACAGGGACTGGACTCCTGCTGGGACTCTGAGGAGCACAGGGACTGGCCTCCTGCTGGGACTCTGAGGAGCACAGGGACTGGACTCCTGTTAGTGCCCAGAGTCAGGACTAAACATGGGGAGGCTTTTCAGATTCATGCTGCTAAAATCTGGAACAGTCTTCCTGAAGATGTGAGACAGGCCTCCTCTCTGACAATGTTTAAAACCAGGTTAAAGACAGTTCTGTTTAGCTGTGCTACAACTGAGGGATTTTATATTTTTATCTTTCTTTTTAATGTTCTGTGATTATTTATGATTTTAATGCTTTCATATTTTGTTCAGCACTTTGAATTGCCTTGTGTATGAATTGTGCTATATAAATAACTTTCCTTTCCTTGCCTTGACTGTGTGCATGGATCCCAAAGCTAAAAAGAGAAGAGTCGATAATAAGACTGGACTAAGAATGAAACTTAACATTTGCTTTCAGTCAATGAGGAAGGCCTGCTTCATGTTTGCGATGTAATGAGAAGTTTCTATGAGATAATTGTATCTGTGCTTAGTATCTACAAAAATGGCCGCTCGGGGTGGAGTTGAACCTGTGTCACCTGGATGGGGGCGTGGTCAAAAGCGCCTCATTTGCATTTAAAGAGACAGCACCAAAACAGGTTGCTCTCAGACGCACCTCAGAACAGGTGTAAAAGAAAGGCCCGTGGAGCTACAAATAATGAGACTCAGACCCAGGCATTGCAGTTACGCTTTATATAGGCCACAAATTAATGATTTAGATGTAAAAATCAATTATTTGAAAACACGATATGTCCACTTTAAGTCAATAAATCACAACAGTCCTAGTCTGGTTGTACCACACCATAGCACAAATTACATTTCGTACTAAGGTCTGGATTTGCTCCATTGACTCCGTTAACAGGTGGGAGGGGTTAACTCCTTTTGCAGATTGAAACCATTGGATCTGAGTTTACTGTGACGTATGTAGTGAGCCTGAGTGAGTTGTTAGCATTTAGCCTAGCTTTAGCCATCTCCTTTGCCGCTAACGGAGCCCGTGGGGAGTAGCGCCACAATCTTGACCAGTGATTACATTTGCTAAACATTCCTCTTGCTCCTGCTTCAATTTCTTGATAGAACCAGACCGGATTACTTTACTATCGCATTCTTCGCGATAGTAAACCTGCCCGTTCGGCGCAAACTCTTGACGTCACCGGCACCAACCTACGACACCCGCCTCCCACGCTCTCTGAGTAGCCGGTCGAAATACGACTGATTGTATTCGCTAACACAGGGACCAGACCCAGACGTTACATGCAGTGAAATGATGATTGAGCGGAGTGTACGGATGGATAAGGCCAGGCTACAACAGTCCTTACAACAGAGGACTTAACAAAACCCTTGAAATCTACGACACAGATCAGAGAATCAAAAAGTTCAACACAAAGAATAGAGAACACTGGGATCTCCTCTCCCACGGACGGACGGGCTGTAGATCCAGGACTCAGACTGTAGAACGAGGACCAAGGCCACGCGGTGCAGGACTCAGACTGTAGAACGAGGACCAAGGCCACGCGGTGCAGGACTCAGACTGTAGAACGAGGACCAAGGCCACGCGGTGCAGGACTCAGACTGTAGAACGAGGACCAAGGCCACGCGGTGCAGGACTCAGACTGTAGAACGAGGACCAAGGCCACGTGGTGCAGGACTCAGACTGTAGAACGAGGACCAAGGCCACGCGGTGCAGGACTCAGACTGTAGAACGAGGACCAAGGCCACGCGGTGCAGGACTCAGACTGTAGAACGAGGACATCGCGCCATGAAACAGACAATGGGACAATGGGTGAATAGCAATGAACAGACTACAGCACTGTCTTTAAAGATGTTATTTTAGATTAGAGTTTGTCTTGTGCTGTGTGCTCTTCATTCCTAGTCCTCTGAAATAACTGCTGTCGTGATTTAGGGCCTGTACGAGAATACAGGAGGGAGGGAGGTACAGCACATGTATTTTCTCTGATGCAACACAGGATCCAAACTCTTATCTGTTCTTTCTCTGTGCTGACCCCTCAGTGACAGAGGAGCAGCAGCTCTACATCGAGTGGACGTAGAGGTGGCTCAGGCATTCATAACAGATGCCTGAGAATGGGTCGGATCAAAGAATGTGGTGTTGGCTCGGTAAAAGCTCTGTTTGCTGTTGTTTCGATTTCGTTATCAAAGGTGCTAATTCAAGCGTAAATATGATGTTTGCTTAATGCCTATTGATGACCTATCGTGATGGGCTCCAGGACGGCTTGCTGACTAATTACCGACAATTACAGAGGCATTTCTTATGTCCTTTTGTCATGGAAAGACTGTGATGTTAACCCTCCTCCCCTCCCTCTCGTTTGAAGATGTTTTGTGTCTTGTTGTGTACTGTAGCTTGTTGAATTTTATTTTATTTTTTTGGTCTTCAAGGTCCTGTCTCTTGTGTTTATTTATTTATTTTACTAAACAAAATATTAATAAAAAGAAAAAGGAATGCATTCTGGACGTCTGCTTTGATGTCTCCGGCATGTACCCCTGTTCAGAGGCTTCGGGGGATGACCCAGGACACACTGGAGCGACTGGGACTCCGTAACCCCGGCAACAGAAAAATATGAAGAAAACTGAGTGGATGGTTGGTCTCTGGACACGGCCTGAGATTCTCACATCTGTGTCTGATCAGAACACATACAGAGAGGTTAGGATGAGATGTTACACTGCTTGCTTAATCATCCCTCTCTTTGAACAGCAAACAGGTTGAATATTCCATGCACAAAAAAGATTTCTCGCCAAAAGAAGTCAGATTTCAGTAATAACATTTGCCAGTTTCATTTTAGCGAGTGCTTTAATCCTGAAGCTTGACTCGGTGCCCTCCTGAGCACACGCCGCTCGGCTGCCCGTCCACGTACTCGCGCCAAGGCCTTTCTCCGAGGTGCTGTTTGGTAGAGACCCGTTTGGTATTAGCATTTTCAAAAGGGCAATGGAGTCAGAGAGTCAGGAACCAGGAAAGGTCACCGGGTTTCCTGCCTCTTCAAACCTCCACACTCTGTCAAGCCCAGGCCCCGCCGCTCGACCGACCCACTCCACGCCAAACTGAGAGATCGCCCACTTTTCTCCTCAGTGACATTAAAAGGCTCATTTAGCTCCGACTCCCAAGACCTTGATCAGGCCAAATATGACTTTTCCCACTGAAAGAATTGGTGACATTTGAATATTTTAGTTTAATTTGAAATACGATGTGTGACGAGACGAGACGTTTTTATAACAAGAGAAGGTATTGTGTAAAACCTTAGACATGAACCATCAAGGCGTTGAGAAACTTCTAAGTAAATCTTGTCAGCTGTCAGACTGTACAATAAGTCACTTTAAGTCAGGGACTACAGGTGTAAATTAGCAATGCTTCTACAACCCGATACAATGCATCTCTCCTTTTGGCTAACGTTTATTGTACACTGTCCCTGTAAAAATAAAAAAAACATACCATACCATACCATACCATACCATACCATACCATACCATACCATACCATACTATACCATACTAATGCTCAGCTATTTCCACTCTTTCTGCCCCTTTTACTGTACATAATTATATCCTGCACAGACTATATTTTCTGCCTTTAACATGTTTTACACTTCTCAATCTGAGTGATTCTGTCTGTGCCAAATGTTACTTATACATTTCTCCATCAGAGATCAACAAAGTCTATCTTTCTTATCTTATATTTCTATTGAAAGGATGATACAAAACATACCGACATCAGAGTGTTCTTAATCTTTCCCCCATCAATTTGTAAATTACATAAATGCTGTGAAATCTGGGCTGGATCTGCATTATGAGCCCAGTAAAACTAACTTTGTGTCTTTCATTGAATTTGCATTTGTGAGTCCAATAACTTTGTCTAAACTTTTGCACAGACGTGGTCTAAGTGTAGCAGTGTCGTGACTCTGTGAACATGTCTGTGTGGATGGTAGCGTCCCACTGTCCTGGCTGCACATGAACGTTCTGAAGCGGCGGGGAGAGAAAGCCGACTGCGCCCAGGAGCACAGGAGGCACTCTGTGGACTATATCTTCATGAACGTCTGTGTGGCTCCCAGTATAAGCTGCAGTGTGGCGAGGGGAGATGTGGTGCTAAGACCCACATCCAGGAGGGCCGGGGGCAGGAGGGGGCAGAGGCAGAGCTCCCAGTGTCAGCGTGAGGCCTGGCACTGGTTGAAAGCAGCTCCTCTCGGGCCGGTTTCTGCTCCTGCACCTCTGGTCTGACCCGAACCTCTGCAGCTGCTGCCAACAAGTCTGACACACGAGCAGGAGAAGGATGTTTTTGTTTGCTACTATTGTGTCTTTTGTTTAATCAATGAAAGGCAGAACAGTGGCAGAGTGGTTAGCATTATTGCATCTCAAGGCCCAGTCAGAACAGGGCGGAGAGTGGAGTTTGCATGTTATCCATGTGTGTATAACATGTGTTTACCATTATAAACATGTACAACAGTGAAATCCTCCAGCTTCAGTCCTGACCAAGAGCTTCAGCCTCTGATGGTCCACAGGCGCTGTACTTCACTGACCACTGCCCCTGAAGGAGGCGAGTGGAATGGGTCAAATGCAGAAGACACATTTCCCAACAATGACAATCTTAGCTTTACAATAATCTATGAAAGTTTCCAGTAATCAGGATTCAAACCTCGAAAAAGCACTGGTGTCTTTTGGCCACACGTGAGGTTCATACTTTGGAACATTCACATTATATAAGAGTCCATCTGAACAACAAACAAGAGCAGTCCCTTCAATGATGAAAATGTTTGTGCAAAAGACATTAAAGACCTTATGCCGGGTTTGATTTATTTAGAAATACAGTTTTAATACCATTTTATATTAGAAGAGAACTACTAAAGGTTTCAAAATCAGTTGTTTTTTTTGTCTGACCCCCCCAAATCGAAATAACCCCATAGCAACGCCCTTAGAGACGAAAAAACTTCACAGCCCTTGGTGACGTCAGAGCGGGTACGTTTCAACGCTGTAAGTTGTTGACAATTTGGTATTCGTTCTTTTTTCGCGGATATTCAAGATGACAAGGCCGTGTACAGAGAGTATGAGATTAGTACCAGATTATAACACTTTGTTGTCACTGAGATAGTCCAGTGGTTGTGTCGATGGACTGCCAATCCAGATACTTGGGTTCAAATCCCATCTCAGACACATTTTCACTCTCAAAACGGCAATTTATGTGTAGTGAGCAATTGTCACCTGTAGAGGGCAGTATTGTGTTGGGCATCAGTGGAGAGAAGAGAGAAAAGGCAGTCCTGTGGCATAGATCCATGGTTTTCAATGCATGGGCGTTACCCGCTGTGACGTCACACACAGGTTAGAGCATAGACAGCTTAAATTCATGAAAAACAAATTCCTATATAAAATATAGGAATTTTTTAGCCAGAATCTATTTCAGATCGACATTATCATGCAATTTTGATATCCACAAATTGTTTTTTTTAAACCCGGCATAAGGTCTTTAAACTAATGTCCTTTTTGGGAGTAACCAGCTTGACTCGACTCCAGCTCTTGTCCTAAAGTGGCACGGAGCCGACTGATAGATGTGGTTGTCTTGCTTCCCTTCGATGTCAGCAGACGCCATATGATCTTTTTGTGAATTCCAGGGTCTGCATTTAAAGCTTTCAGACCTGACTTGACGATCTGACCCAAAAATACATTCTTACATGTGTTCTTGATTTGTCATTTTGCTGATGTAAAAACACGGCCGTAAACAAGGCTTTTCTCATCGTCCTGCAGTGGTTTTAGTCGCGTTCAGTTGTTGATTTTTGGACTCCAGCTGCGAGGTCCTCACTTTGGTTTCTCCCAATTCTTTTCACTTTTAACTGTTTTCTCCAAAGGCAAAGAATCTTCTGCTCGGTGTGAAGTCCATGGTGTGTTGGTCATCAGATGTTTGTGTGAATCTAATCAACCTGTTTCTACTCACCATCTCTTTGACAATGGATTTACTCATTCTTGGCCTCATAAAGCAACCCCCCCCACCCCCCCTCCCCTCTGCGCCCCTGTTGTTGTTCTCGTCCCGGGCCGTCCTCTCGCTGAGCCGAGTGTGAAGCAGGTAAATAAATCACTAAGCAGCGATAGTGCAGATAACGAGACATTGGGGGATAGAGCGCTGCAGATGTGTGCAGATGCTGAGCCTGGGGCCAAATGGAGGAGGCCTGCGAGCTCACGGAGCACGGAGCAGGACGCCGCCCCCGGAAGACGCCACGATCACAGTCTGATCGCCACAACACGGAGGAACGCCGATGGAGGGCGACCTGCGGTTCAATGACAACTGTTTATAATGAAGGCTCCTGGTATAATGCCTTCTGCCGACCGCACGATAAGAACGCTAATGAAAAGATTGGAAACGTTGATAAGGATTTTCATTTGCAGTCTTAGATTCACACACCACGGATTCAAAGGTTGGACTCTATAATCCAGTTCCAACAGGCTCTGCTCTTGTGTCCTTGGGCAAGACTCTTCCAAGGACATCATCACTGTGAATATTGGAACCCACAGAGCCATGAGTGTGTTACTGATGTATCTGCAGATGGTCACAAACAGTTTCTTACACGAGGGAGTCAGTACTTTAATATTTTTTTTGTCACTAAATTAAAGATATAGATTTTATTTTGTTAAGTATTGAGTTGCGCTATACTTATTATTCATGTATAATGTGTGCTTCTCATTACTATCCTGTAAGAGGTGGTTACTGTGGAATATTGTTTAGTCATGTATGTGCAGTGCATGGTCCGGGCGCTTTAACTCATAGACTGCCAGTGACGTACTTGTCTGAGACCGGTGGTTTCTGTAAAACTTCCCTCTATTCGACTGGGGATTACAGGAGAACGGAACTAGCTAGAAACCAACTTATTTTTGCTGATGAAAGTAGACAGTCCAATCTTTCAGAATCTGGTTTCATATTTCACGTAGTCAGAGCACAAAATAATCTGTGGGTCTTGAAAGTCAGTGATGCATCAAAAACGGCTGCAGTCAATGAGTTAATGACACTTAAACTAAACACAAAGCTCAAAGTCTGTTTGTTCTGTAACTAGTGATGCAACACTGACATTTTCACACTCTGGTTCATCGAACACCTTTCCCCACAGTAACAGAAGTTTTGTTAATGTAATCTGTTGCTGTGTCTTTTGGCAAAGGAGCGACTCAAAGATGTGACAGAGACTAAAAACCTGTGAAAACGAGAGATAGAACCAGAATGTTTTAAAGCCAAGAACGAGGAACATGGTTTTATGACATAATGTGGTTTTCAAGATCACAAGACTTGAAAAATCCTGATAAAAGAAAGAATATTTCTTTATGTCATTCACTTATTTGAGGTTTTTTTTTGTGTTAAATACAAACCGTTTAAGGCTTTACCGTTTAAGAATTCAACCAATTCCTTCTGCTCTGACTTCTCACCAAAACAACATGAACACAATTCAGAGTTTTAAAAGCAAATCGAGAGAAATGGTTCAAATTTCTCTTTTCATAATTCCACATTCAGAAACAATCTGCACAAAAAACCCAATTACATTTTCAGAGCGGGAGAAGAAAGAGCCGAAGCGGTGACATTAGGGTAATGAAGGGAAAAGTCTGCTAATGAGAAGCAGGAGTTTATTCTGCTCCTGCTGCGGTGACAAAACGGGCCAGAGTTCAAGAACAATCCACAGACTTTAAAATCACAATTAGGAACCAGCTTTGAGGACTTGATGACTGGAAGGAGAGTGTTTTGTACAATGGGAGGAAGTGAAAATGTAGAGATGAGATGTTGGTAACTCTGAAAACCATTTGCACGACACCTAAAGGCTTTGTGCCGCGGGTCTCTTTGTCTGTGTCACTGTTTTTATCGAGATTGTGACTAAAGCCCTTGTCAAAAAACTCTTGCTTTGCTTTTATGTGTTCCAAAAATCAACTAGGTCTACAGAAAATTCTAAAAGTGTCATGTGATTAAGTGAATGAAGACCCAAAATTGCAGGAATGCCAAAAATAAGGGTTTAATGATAAAAAAGTCCAGATGAAACCAACTCAAAATCCAAAACCAAAACAGGACCAGGAACAGGACGGAAACAGACAGAGACATGAACAAGACAAGACAGGACGTTGACAACACAATGGACCAGCACAAGGGGGACAGGAGCACAGGGTACAAACAGACACAGACACAGGACAGGTCAAACTAAAACTAATTCACAGATAACAAACGTCAAAATATAACAAAAATACAAAAATGAAATCCACACCATAACAAAAAGTTCATCAGAAGAGGCGAGTTTATGCTCTGGGGGCTGTTACAGTAAACTAGATACCCCCGAGACGCAGTACTTACAGGTGTTGAGAAGGATGACCAGTAAATGCAAACGTATACATTTAAATCTGCATTTTATTGATCCCCGTATGGCAATTTGTCCTCTGCATTTGACCCGGATCCTGATGCCACAAGCGCAGTGGTCGCCGTGGTAACAGCGCCCGGGAATCCATCACCAGATAATGGGGCTTGGCTTGGTCAGGACCAGAGCTGGAGGAGACATCTTTTTTTGCTCCATATATGGTCAAGCTGGTCTGGGTCTGGGTCTGATGTAGGGGAAACCGGAGCACCTGGAGGAACCCAACATAGACACGGGGAGAACAAGCAAACTCCACAGATAAGTCTGGAGATGGATCAACGGATGAATCTGTGGATTAACATGTTTATTTCAGAACATAAAAACCACAAAGCCAACAACATAATCCCTGACATTTGCACATATCTGAAAACAGTTGGAATCGCACCAAGGACCTTTTCGCAACAACAACAGCAGTGTTTTTTCATCGTGACCATTTAACCAGTGTTCGTAGAAACTGAGTAAATGGATGAATTTCCCACAGAATCCCCAGACGCTCGTTCTTCAGCAGGAAACAGCCCAGTGGGTAATATTAGAAACCTCTGGGAGAACCACAGAAGGATAGATCCAGTCCCACTCACAGACGGCTGCAGCTGTGTTCTCGACCCACATGTGAACCCCAACTTCATTCTTACGTCAGATACTACAGTCATTTAAGTAGATTTTTTCCCAGTAACCAAATATTACTTGTTCATTGTTCGTATATTTACAGTTTGGCGAAACCACTCCGGCCGTTCTTTGAATTGAACTGTCTCTGTTCACTCATCGACTGCCAACTGTTTTTGAGGCCTTCACTGACTTTCAAGACCCACAGAATATTGTGTGTTTTGACTGCGTGAAATATGAAACCAGATTCTGAATGATTGGACTGTCTACTTTCATCAGCAAAAATAAGTTTGTTTCTAGCTAGTTCTGTTCTCCTGTAATCCCCACTCAAATAGAGGGAAGTTTGAAAGAAATCACCAGTCTCAGACAAATACTTCAACGGCTTTCAATGAGTTAAAGTAAGCAGCATAAAGTCACCACAACTTCAGATTCAGATCAGATGCAGATTCATTTTATTTGCCATTTGCAGTAAAAACACCACATTGGAATATATTAGCAAAAGTCTTCAGTGTGCACAGACAAATACAGACATAAAACATTAAAAGTACAGAAAAAAACCAAATAAAACACACAAATGTCACTGTGAAATCGATCGACTAAAACAGTATCAATACAAAGAACAAGAACATTAAAGTGCTCTGTTCAGACTGATAACAGCTCGTGGGAAGAAGCTGTTAGCATATCGAGATGTCCTGCATCTCAGAGAACGATATCTTCTGCCAGAAGGAAGAAGCTGGAACATGGCTTTCCCAGGGTGGCCAGAAGAGTCGTTAACAATCCTAAGAGCTTTGTTTAAAAGTCTGGATTTATAAAGAACCTCCAGAACAGGAAGCTCACAGCCCACGGCCCTCTCTCTGGTCTCTCTCTGGTCTCTCTCTGGTCTCTCTCTGGTCTCTCTCTGGTCTCTCTCTGGTCTCTCTCTGGTCTCTCTCTGGTCTCTCTCTGGTCTCTCTCTGGTCTCTCTCTGGTCTCTCTCTGGTCTCTCTCTGGTCTCTCTCTGGTTTCTCTCTGGTCTCTCTGTGGTTTCTCTCTGGTCTCTCTCTGGTCTCTCTCTGGTCTCTCTCTGGTCTCTCTCTGGTCTTTCTCTGGTCTCTCTCTGGTCTCTCTCTGGTCTCTCTCTGGTCTCTCTCTGGTCTTTCTCTGGTCTCTCTCTGGTCTCTCACAGCCCACGGTCCTCTTTGCAGAGCGGAGCACCTTGTTTAAAGCTCTCTTTTCTTTATCTGTGATGTTTCCAAACCACACAGACACAGAACCAACAAGTAAACTCTCAATGGTGCAGCGATAAAAGTTAAGCAGAATCTTAGAGTTAGTGGTAAATTCTCTAAGTTTTCGCAGAAAGTAGAGACGCTTTCTTAACGACTCGGTCAGTGTTTTTAATCCATTTCAGGTCGTTAGACAGAGTTAAACCCAGAAACTCCTCTACGATCTGCACCTGGGAGTTAAATTGCCAAAAATATGTTGAAATCACAGTCAAAATATATTGTAATCAATTGGGTTTTGCAAGTAATTTACACATATTTTACTTGGCAACATCAAAAAGTCAAAAATGTCAGGAATTAAAGTTGGTTTTGCACACAGAGGTCTGGTAGTAGCACACAGACGCCAGATCTGTCCTGGGGCAGACTGAGAGACACGTGGCTGCCTCAATCTCGTCCTGTGGCCTTCGTCTCGTGAACCACAGCAGACTTTCCTGTTTGTCTGATCCTGGGGGTTGTTGCTGATGATGAAGCAGGTGAAATGTTAGCGCATAGTAGGATTTCCTAAATGCTTGGCGGCATCCAGACAATAGCTTATTTATTAACAGCGCTGCAGCCGTTGGGAAAGTAAATGGGAGCTCAATTAAGGTGAATAAATTAGGATTAACTTTGAATAGCGGCGCATTTTCATTTTAATTAAATGTGTTTATAATTTATTTTTTCCGAGCTGCAGCGAAGAAGGCACTGAGAGAGACGAAGCTGCCTCCTCACCTTCTTCAGTTGCAGAGAGAAGACAGAGAGACGTTTGGGAAGTAATGTAAAGTCATGTTGGACAGAACAAGGATGTTATCGACAAACTTCTAAAAGAATGGCAAAAAACTACCCTGGTCGTACCACACCATAGTACACATTTCATTTCATACTAAGGTCTGGATTTGCTCCATTGACTCCGTTAACAGGTGGGAGGGGTTAACTCCTTTTGCAGATTGAAACCATTGGATCTGAGTTTACTGTGGCGTATGTAATGAGCCCGAGTGAGTCGTTAGCATTTAGCATTTAGCCTAGCTTTAGCCATCTCCTTTGCTGCTAACGGAGCCCGTGGGAAGTAGCGCCACAATCTTTGCAGTGATTACGTTTGCTAAACATTCCTCTTGCTCCGGCTTCAGTTTCTTGATAGAACCAGACCAGAATACTTTACTATCGCAATCTTCGCCAAACTACAACCTGCCCGTTCGGCGCAAACTCCTGACCTCACCCACATCTAACTACAACACCCGCCTCCCGCGCTCTCTGATTGGTCGGATGGAATTCAACCGATTGTAATCACAAACACAGGGACTAGACCCAGACGTTACATGCAGGACATGATGATTGACAGGAGGGTACGGATGGATAAGGCCAGGGTAGCAAAAAACAGACACAAGCAACAAACTTATGGGGATAAGATACAAGTTAAAATGTTTTTAACGATGGCTCTAAGACTCCTGAACTCTCCGTAGCCTGTTGTGGACTTCTGTGTTGGAGCTTGTGTTGTTTGTACTGGCTCTACTTGATATCACGTATGTTTCTGTCTGACATTGTGTTTTTATGCAGTTTTTATGTTTTTTTTTTCAATGCTCTGTGCTGCTCAAACGTATTGCCCCTGGTGGGATAGATAAAGTAGTCTGAATCTGAATCTGAGGAGGTCGCCGCCGCGGTGCATCATGGGAGGGGCAGCAATCAGTGACAAGAAGCAATCTGGAAACACAGACAAGTAAAAGCGATTTTAAATGATATCACAGAACGGGACGTGACAGCATTAAATGTTCACTGTAGACATTTACTTACTAACCCTAACCCTTATGCCCATGGACACTGAAAAACCCCAATTTGTAAAACTTACTCCACGGTAGAGAAACTGATTATAATCTCAGTTTACGAGGAAACAAAATAATATAAGTTCTTATATTTAGAGCGACTTTGAAATCAATGTGTGTCCATGCAGAGGGGCAATGGGGTGGGTTAAAAACTGAAGTGTGGGGAGGAGAGAGAGGGAGTGCCCAGAGCGGTAAATGTGCACTTTATTAATCCCCGTAGGGCAATTCCTCCTCTGCATTTGACCCATCCTGATGCCACTAAGGCTGACCTCAGGAGCAGTGGTCGCCGTAGTAACAGCGCCCGGGAACCCATCTCCAGGTTTTGGTGCTCGGCTTGGTCAGGACCGGAGCTGGAGGATTTTATCTAGTGTGCATGTTTTTAGTGGTAGGTGAAACCGGAGCACCCAGAGGAAACCTACGCAGACACGGGGAGAACATGCAAACTTGACTTGTGTGTGTGTTCAAGGCTCAAGGTGACTTTATATGCACCAAAAGACTTTATTTGTAGCAAAGTAAGTATAAAAGAGATAGACTTGGCATCTACACAAAAATATACATAAAAATCACATTTACACAAATAACAATAAAAACACCTAAGAAAAGAAAAGAAAGTAAAAAGAAGAAGGTAAACGTGGTCTAAAGGTGCTTAGTCAGGACTCCAGAGTAAAAACCCATGGTGTGTGTGTGTGTGTGTGTGTGTGCGTGCGTGCGTGTGTGTGTTTGCGTGTGTGTGTGTGCGTGCGTGTGTGCTTGTGTGTGTTTGTGTGTGTGTTTTGTACTATTTTGCTGTGTGTAATTCTATTCTACTGCATGTGTCTGTCATTTCATGGTGTTGGAGACTAATGAAGCTGAAACGCAAATTCAGACTGAAAGACCGGCCACAGCTCTCACCTCAGCCAATCACACAGCTCTGCCAGCCTCGAGCCTCAGCCAATCACACAGCTCTGCCAGCCTCGAGCCTCAGCCAATCACACAGCTCTGCCAGCCTCAAGCCTCAGCCAATCACACAGCTCTGCCAGCCTCAAGCCTCAGCCAATCACACAGCTCTGCCAGCCTCGAGCCTCAGCCAATCACACAGCTCTGCCAGCCTCTTGCCAATCCACTGACAGCAAAGCGGGCAGTTTAAAACGTATTGACCAGATGCATCAACGTCATCCAGTCACGTGATTGTGAATGAACTTACGGCGGAAGTATTGGAAACTAGCATTGCTGCGAGAGCAAAACGGACACAACTCTTAAAAACGGAGCTTCCTCTCTTAAATCGAGAAGTGGCTGCTTCAAGCACATGTTCGATTACGTTATAGGTGGAAGTAGGACATCAGGTCAGGGCTCACAAAGAGTGGTATTTGGAGAAGTTAAGGATTGTCTAACTGGATGTTGACCCGTATCTTCTACTTTTTGCCCAAATTCACCCTACATGATCTTTATCATTATCGTTAACAATGCATCCCCTCACACTGGAGCAGATTTATATGTACATTTTGCTGGTAGCATTAGCAATAGTCCACTTTTCTGTGGCTTTTCTGTCTACAGCCAAACATGATACGTACTGACGGAGAGGAAAATAGTGAAACACGCAATTGACTTAAAAGATAAAAATGTCAATGTTGCAGCGCACATACAGGACAGTAGTAAGAGACACGTTTGACGTGTGTCATTGTCCTCCACATTAATGGAAATAAAATAAATACAAACTTGTGATTGCTTTATCTTGTAAAAAGTGTTCACTGCATATTAGGGAGTACTTGGATGGGTCCCAGTCCTTTTGGTTGATTGCCGCTGGCCATCGTCGTCTTCTGTCTTCATGACGAGCAGGTATCAGATAAAAAAGCTTATGTCCTTGCCTGTTAGTATAATCAACCGCACTGCAAAATGTCACAGTTTTGGCTGTAATGCGCTGAAACAGGTTGTTTTGGTCAGGTGTCCGCAGGCTCCAGTTAGACTTCTGCCGTCTGTCATGGAGAGTGGGCGTGGCCGGGACGTCACATGCAAGGGGTCAATACGCCACTTCCTGATAATCAGCGCTTCTTAACACCCACCTCCCCAGCCCCTCCTCCAGCTCTGGCTCCTGCTCTGGCTCCTGCTCTGGCTCCTGCTCTGGCTCCTGGTCTGGCTCCTGCTCTGGCTCCTGCTCTGGCTCCAGCTCTGGCTCCAGCTCTGGCTCCTGCACTGGCTCCTGCTCTGGCTCCTGCTCTGGCTCTAGCTCTGGCTCCAGCTCTGGCTCCTGCACTGGCTCCTGCTCTGGCTCCTGCTCTGGCTCCTGCTCTGGCTCCAGCTCTGGCTCCAGCTCTGGCTCCTGTCCTGGCTCCTGCTCTGGCTCCTGCTCTGGCTCCTGCTCTGGCTCCTGCTCTGGCTCCAGCTCTGGCTCCTGCACTGGCTCCTGCTCTGGCTCCTGCTCTGGCTCCTGCTCTGGCTCCAGCTCTGGCTCCTGCTCTGGCTCCTGCTCTGGCTCCTGCACTGGCTCCTGCTCTGGCTCCTGCTCCGCCTGCGCCCCATTCGCACCATGCTTTTAGCCACCACCAGTGCTTGACCCTGGGGGATCTGAGCCCATCACAGCAGCAGCTGATCTCCCCTCTGCAAGTGTCACTGCCAGGGTCAATGCGCCAAATAAATAAATCTTTTTCATGCATTAATGTTTCTGTCTTGGTCTCTTCAGATTGAACTACAATACTGCACTAGCCAAACCGCACAGTGGGGCACAGCAGTTGGACTCAGTAATATGCAAATGTCCTTTCCTTCCACAGGTCCATCATGGTTCAAATGGGTCACATCCCAGTTCCAGGCTTCACACACCGCTCCAAGCTCTTCCTTTATGATTAAATTATTTGGTTCGACTTCAAAGATATTGAAAAATCACTGAGAAATCCCATTATTTTAACCCTTTAATGGTTTCCACTTGGAACTGACTTTTAACTCTGTGGTGCATCTCTCTCGGGTTCAGGCACTTTTACCATCAAACTGCATCTCAACCATTTGGTAAAGGTATCATTAAAGGGCCCTAATCTATCATCATTAAAGGGCCCTAATCTGTCATCATTAAAGGGCCCTAATCTGTCATCATTAAAGGGCCCTAATCTGTCATCATTAAAGGGCCCTAATCTGTCATAATTAAAGGGTCCTAATCTGTCATCATTAAAGGACCCTAATCTGTCATAATTAAAGGGCCCTAATCTGTCATCATTAAAGGACCCTAATCTGTCATCATTGAAGGGCCCTAATCTGTCATAATCAAAGGCCCTTATTTGTCATAATAATAAACTGCTCTTTTCCAATACTTCTTTAACTGATAACAGTAGTTCAGAGATATTTGAATTTCTAAATTACTTTTCCAGCCTCTAAATCTTGTTATTGTTTTCATTCCGATGTCCCGCCCTCCACCGTTTCACCAATCAGAAAGTCTGTGATCCGGGCGCCAGAACTCACCGCGTGGCTAATCTCACTGGTAAATTACCATGTGGCGCAGAACTAAAAAAGGTCTCGTTATGATTCTCAAATCATTAACGACAAAACAAGGAATAAAACCAGGATTTCTATCTTTGTGAAAAAGGTGTTGGTTATAGATTTGTTGTTGACTAAACCCTTGTCTATTCAGCTGTTATGGTCCCAGCTGGATTCGTCTGCATATCTGGCAACCTGAGTCAGGGAGATCTTTACATGTTGCTCCTTTAAACAATGGTGGATAGAAAAAACCTAGATTATGTGTGATATTAGCAATATTTCTCCATCTTAGAAAATCCCAAAAAGAAAAAAATGACTAAACTTTCTTCAAGGAGTGAATGATTTCTGAGATGCAACCAAGTTTTGTATTTATTTTGTCCGACGCGCTCCCCGACTTTCATTAGTTCCCCAAAACAAACACCATTTTCGCCACCGTCAGTTTGTGTACATTACTGTGAAGAGCTAAACGGCAGAGACAGCGGCGTGTCACGGTGTCATGGCGCCCGCCCCTCTGTCGTGTACAGTGTGATGGAACAGAGCTGCTGAGAGACGGCGGACTGCTCATGTCTGTGGGAGTTACGGTAACAGCGGTGATCCCAGGCCTGACACACGCACACACACACACACATATACACACACACACACACACATATACACACACACACATACATATACACTGAACATATACAAACATATACATAGACACACACACATATACACTGACACATACACACACATATACACACATACACTGAACATATACACTCATATACATAGACACACACGCACGCACACACACATATACATAGACACACACACACACACATACATATACACATATACACTGAACATATACACACATATACATAGACACACACGCACGCACACACACATATACATAGACACACACACATATATATACAGACACAAACACACTCACACATATTCACAGACACACACCCACAGACACACACACACATATACACAGACACACGCACGCACACACACATATACATAGACACACACACACATATATATATACAGACACATACACACACATATTCACAGACACATACACACACATATTCACAGACACATACACACACACACACACATTTATATTATATGGGCTTCAGCGATACGGTTAAATTCAGGTTGTTTATTCCCAGCCTGCTTGGATTCATGGATTTCAGCTGGATTCTTTATAGAAGGCTTATTAAAGCTAGGGTACCTAACTTTCAAGGTCCTTTCGTAAAGTCCACATACAAATGGACTGCCGTAAAGTCCGTCAAACAAGGTCCTGGCTCTCAGAACAGTGGGGTTCTACAGGACTAGTTGTCACATGGACAGTGTGATTGGCCTCTGTCCCATCCTTAGACCAACTGTTTCAGACGGAAAAGGGAAAAAGACAGGACCACCCTGTCTCAGCCAATCAGCTCGCAGCCCAAAGAGTCAAACAGTGACTTAAAGGGCTCGTTATGCAAATAATTACATGTTTTCTGATGAGATGGAGACGGCATGTCATGGTCTGGTCTGTTCATAAAATGTTACTTTTACAGGACAAACAACATACAATATAATTTTAAAGGTTTCTTGCTGATATAATAGATCCACATCCTTTAAACCAGGGCTCTCCAAACCTTTTTCAATCAGAGAGCTTCTTTTACACAACAGAAGAGAGCTACTTATCTAATATTTACGACAAAACATAATCCATATTTATACTTATAACAGACATTTATTGACTCAAAATGTGTTCAATCAAGATCATGTGTTAATTCTAAATCGTCACAGGCTGGTACAGTAGTTATGGTACATTACACATGTGTGTTCTCCATGATTGGCTGTAGTTATTATATAGTCAACAAATGTTTTATGACTCTCTTTCTTTTCTGTCTCATTAAAGTATCTCTCCAATTGAAATAAGTTGGAGACCTGCTCTAATCTAACTGAGACAACCCAGTCTCACCCATCCCGGTTAGCAGCATGGTGCGATAACACTTCCGAGGTGGAATAGAAAACTTAATTTAATTTTACTGGAGCGCACATTTTATATTCTCCATTAAAGTGTGTTTCTCGGCTCCAGATGCAGATGATCCGTGTTGGTCTTTGGAGCCGGTCTTTGGAGCTGGTCTTTGGAGCTGGTCTTGTTTCTGATGACTCGAGTCAAACTGAGCATGTTTTTCCAACGTCAGACTCGGAGAAAGTCTCTGAACACAGCTGTCACAGACTGTTCTCGTTTCCACTTCAACAGTTCCAGAGAAAACTGCAGAATGTATTGATTTATTGGAGTCCATTTATAGCCAAGGCAAGTGTATTTGTATGGCACAGTTTGTATGAAGGAAAAACACTCCAAGGTCAAGGACTGAAGAGGCTGAACTCAACAAGGAAGGACCAATTATACAAGCGGTTAATAATCAGAAATAATCACAGTACATTAAAAAGACTGTTCTAGATTTTAGCTGCATAAATCTGTAACGCTGCCTCCCATGTGTAGTCCTGACTCTGGGACCAGCAGAAGGCCAGTCCCTGTGCTCCTCAGAGTCCCAGCAGGAGGCCGGTCCCTGTGCTCCTCAGAGTCCCAGCAGGAGGCCGGTCCCTGTGCTCCTCAGAGTCCCAGCAGGAGGCCAGTCCCTGTGCTCCTCAGAGTCCCAGCAGCAGGCCAGTCCCTGTGCTCCTCAGAGTCCCAGCAGGAGGCCGGTCCCTGTGCTCCTCAGAGTCCCAGCAGGAGACCGGTCCCTGTGCTCCTCAGAGTCCCAGCAGGAGGCCGGTCCCTGTGCTCCTCAGAGTCCCAGCAGGAGACCGGTCCCTGTGCTCCTCAGAGTCCCAGCAGGAGACCAGTCCCTGTGCTCCTCAGAGTCCCAGCAGGAGTCCAGTCCCTGTGCTCCTCAGAGTCCCAGCAGGAGGCCAGTCCCATATGGCATTACCATGTCACAGATGTTTATGGCTTAAAAGTGTCTTTTAGACAAAAAAAACGGCTAAAAATATATAAACTTCTTAAAGCTGATTAATTACCTGACATGTTCTGACAAAAATGTACTTTATACATGTATTTATGTCACAGATGTAGTTTGGTTCGAGTCCCTACAGACTTGTAACAAGCAGAGCTATTTTAAAGTCTATTCTCTGTAGAGCAACAACATGTTATTTATAAATCTTTACGTCTGATAACAAGTGTCTAAAGTCATTTAAAGAATTTTCAGTAGAATAATCTCTGTAGGTGCAATATGTAACTTTATGTTAAAAGGTCTTTTATATACTGTAGATACTGAACCGAGTCTATAAGCTCTGAATCTAAGATGGTTCAGTAAAAATCCACTTTATCTCATCAGAACGATCAAATCTGTCTCTTTACACGCAGGAATTTGGCTCAAGTTAAAAATAAATAAAGATTAAACTATAGAAGCTTGCTAACGTTTTCCTTTGAGACAAAATGCTCGTGTGCTGTTTCAGAATCTGTACGTAACAAAAACAAAGTCATAGATAAGTCATGTTTATTCACCAGTGGGAGCAGTGCAAGTGTGTTTGGGTTCATGGGAATATCAAACAGACAAACCTGCATGTGAAGGAGTAGTCCCCACTCTTCACCCACAGGTGAATCCTTCCTGTTTTATTTTGACATATTTAGCTCTGTTTATTTTTCCCTGTCCATAACTTGTCCCTTTTCTCTTGGAAGGTGATTGGTGGAGGTGCTGGGCTGGAGGCGCGCCCATCCCAGAGCATGCTAGGTGCACCCAACTGAGCAATCAGCTGGGCTCCACCATGATCCTCCAAGAGAGGGGTGTTTCATTTGGACTAAACATTATTTAAACATTATTCACACACCACTCCCGTTAAATAACACCACCACTAATTGTATATTATTATAACATATCTGCATACATTACAAATGTAAGTAGTCATAAATATTGTAAACAGTACAGGCCTGCATGGTTGTGTCCCTGGGTGGGTGGAGGTCTTAGTTTGGGCCACTGTATAAAAGGGGATGATTTCATGGTCGGCACTAGATCATAAACGGAATCGGGACAAAACCGGAAGTAACAATCCTTCTTTTGAATTAGTTTTAGACTAAAAAGTCCTTAAGTGGTGACTGGTTAAGTTTTAGGCGTCTGATTAAGATGGTTAAGTTTAGGGTTAAGGCTGGGTTGGGGTTATTTTATGGGAATGTCTGGTTAAGTTTAGGCATGAACAGGTAGTATGTTATATTTACTTCCGTTTCCATCCCGATTCCGTATACTAGTGATGGCAATATGAAGCCCCATGATGCATTGAGGGTTTGCAGCCTATTACTCGGCCCATGGTTCGAAGGCTCGAGGTGAATCATGCTCCACTACGCCATCATGTGGACAAAAAAATACATAACACTCTTAAGTGCTTACAATGAATGGTGAGATTTAATGTTAAAATTTATATTTACAATTTATGGTCTAACGTGTTGTGTTTGAAATTATACTTCATGAACTATTTGAGTCTTTCAGTCAATTGTGTTGATACAACAAACACATCCAAAGTAATACAGTTCTACAGAAAGTGATGAATTAAATACTAAACATGTTAAAGGCAGAATACCAGGAGGGGTCGCTGTTCTATGGCATAAGAAATATGACAATATGGTCAAGGTGCTCAGGCTGGGGGTAAACTGGGCTATTGGCCTTGAAGTGCATTGTGATAGCAGTAAGATAGTAATTCTAAACATTTATACACCTTATGAGTGTGCACAAAATGAGGATGAGTATGTCAAATGTCTTGCCAGCATCTCAACATTCATTAATGCCATTGACTCAACATGTATAATTGTTGTGGGAGATATGAATGCGGATATCGCTGATGACAAATCAATATTTGCTAAACATTTAAAACTATTTTGTGCTGATAATGGCCTTATACTATCTAGTGAGGTTTGCCTGCCAGAAGGAAGCTACACGTATGTTAGCGATGCTTGGCACACCACATCTTGGCTTGATCATTGCCTAAGTACTACGGATGGGCATACCACCATTACCAGCATGCAGATTTTATATGACCTGGCAATATCTGATCATATGCCATTTATTCTCAAATGTAACCTGTGAAACATCCCAAAAGTAACACCTAATGAAGTATGTCCCAACACAGACACTCTGGACTGGTCAAAACTATCGGATGAGAACATCTCTGCCTTCACCAATAGGACACATGGGTGCTTGAGCAGTATCGAGGTACCCAAAGATGCCATTTTGTGCCGTGACATTAATTGCAGAAGTCAGGAGCACTGCTCTCAAATATGTTCACTATACAATGGTGTCATTGAGGCCCTCATTAAACATAAAAAGCACACCCACAGTGGTAAACCTGGATGGAATATGTACGTGGAAGGAGCTCATGCGGACGCTCGGTGTGCATTTAAAGCTTGGACAGAAGCTGGGAAGCACAGGAGTGGGTCACTGTTTGAACAAAAGAAACGTGCAAATGCCAAATTCAAATGTGCCTTGCGCTATATAAAGCGGAATGAGAATCGCCTAAGAGCAGATCTCTTGCTTCCAAACTGAAAAACAACAACTTCTTTGACTTTTGGAAAGAAGTTAG